GAGTAAATTTTTGCTAAATGCTACGCGCGAAAGCGGGAGCCCTTTTCACCTCGAATGCTCTTACTCTTGTTCTTGTTCTTACTCAATTTTGTCACTCATCCAATATCCAACCTCACTAAGCAGGACTCAACGACCTCAATCATGTGTCCCATTCATTACAACGGCTTGTATTTAAGCCCTGCATTACATAATCGTAGATTCGTATTGGTAGTCGTATGAATATGATTGTAATTAAGGATTTACACTACGAATGATATTTGAAAATTCTCTCAAAATTTGCAATTTGAAAGAATTTTCAAATATCACGAGTGGTGTAAATCCGTAATTGCGCGAGCTTTAAGCTTTCATATGATTACTCATTTGTTATATGACTAAGAAAATGACGGACGCACGCTCGTTTATCTGCACTGCAGTGCAAATTAAAAGTTTTTTCAACCAGATAATATTACTCGTAATCATCAAGGTAAGTAGGTAGTATCATCTGTTCTAGATCTCCGAAAAAAAGAAAAAGAATCCTTGACGAGTTTAGATATATTTACTTGCAAAATTCTGGATTCACCCGAATCAAGAAATAACTTCAATAGGGGCATCTTAAACTGTTATAATTAAGTAAACGGACATATATCAAGATTGGTAAGTAAGTTTTAACTTGGTATCTAAGTTTTAAGCTGAGAAAGGCACTGATTTCAGACCCGCTTTGAGTTGACGGATCGAGAACGAAGAACTTAGGAGGTTCTGAAACACTGAAACATGGCGGAAGATTAGCTTCCCTGAATTTCTCCAAGCTACTGGCCCTTGAAAAAAAATGTTTGAGGAATTGGACTTAACTGGCGAAAGATATTTAATGGTACAAAAGGCATTTTGCCCCAGAACTTCAGGTTGTGTTAAAAGACCACTAGCTTCGATATAAGAAACCTGATGATCAATGTCAACCATAATTATTGGATTTATTAAGAGGAAAACCTTTCGTGGAGTGCCTTAAATGCTCGGTTCAGACGCCGCACTTCACATGAGCGGAATCGAATGCTAATGAGGGAGAACAAAGGATTTTTCTCATTTGCATTCGATTCGGCTCATTTGAAGTACGACGTCTGAACTTGGCCTTAGTGGTATAAGTCATACTGAGCTCTGTGAGTAATCGTGTTAGATTCCGGGAGTGAAAAAAGGGGGAACCCATGCAAATAAAGCGCACGTTTCCAAATAAGCAAATTGATGTAAAATATCCTGTATTTCCGTGAGCCGATAGATTACTTTTTGTTTACTAGAAATAACTTGTGATTAGCTCCCAAGAAATCGTTATGTGTATGGAACAATACCTAGTCTTAGTTGTTGATCGACAATGCAGAATAGGCGCCGACGCGAAGTGAAACAAGTTGTCCCAGTCATCCTGACCGAGTCTGGTAAATTGTACGTTTAAGACAATAGGTATAATCTGGGCAACTGTAAGGAAAGTAACCAGAACTTTTCTCTAAATAAGGGCAGATGATCGGAACAATCAATTGATTATAACGTGGAAAATCTACTCGAACGAAGGACACCATGACGATCACTTGAACCGCTTCAGTTTCTAAAGGGATGATTGGAAGAACGTGAGCGATCTCGAGATGCGATCGGAGTGGTCGATCAAAACCAGATTATCCCAGAATTCAGACCTTTTTGTGACCGCCAATTTGTTTTAAGGTGGTCTTATACATACCTTAAAAATGAATTATTTTTTTATAAAACAACGTAAATCAAGGAGTGATACGAAAATACGTTTTGTAAAAGGTCAGAGATGTTGAATCTTCATGTTTCGGAAAAATAGTTTTTTGGAGGAAAGTTTATCTGTCATAGTAGAACACCATCCTAGGTAAGGTAAAGTCTGCATACGAGCCAAGTGGCCCACCAGGCCGGAGCTTAGCCCGGTTTCTGTAGCATGAAGCGACTAGGAGTATTTCTACTCCCCCCTGGATGGGATGCTAGTCCATCGCGGCATAAAAATGCTATTTGACGAAAATTGTTCCGATCATCCGCATCACTTGCAGTGCTTTGAAATGACAAATGTGATCTGGATTATCTCAGGATTAATTTTTGTGATTATATCAAAACCGACCTTCAATTTTTAAAATGGAGTTTGTGACAGTTCGCAAATGAAAAACTAACTAATGACATAAAAGAAACTCTAAGAAAATGCCGGTATTAATTGAAATATAAAACAAGACTTAATTAAATAGGAATATACAAGCGAAAATGTGCCATTATGTACAAGAAATGTGTACTGAATTAATAACAAAAAGAGGCTCAGTTTGATATGTTTTAATTTTAAAAAGTTGCTTTTAATTTCATCTAGCCATGACTTCGCCCTTGTCATCGACGAGCCAGAAAGTTAGTCTCTTTGGATCTTATGGCTTTTATTACAATTCTACGCCTTCGAGCCATTTTTCATTATTAATTTAATACAGCAAATATATGGATTAATTGCATATTAGTTAAAGCTAGTAGTAGAACAAAACTTGCTACAAAAGTGTTAAAATAGAGGGCAGCACTTTCGAAAGTTATCATATTTTATTAAAATAGCAATTGAGCGCGGCCAAATGTTCGTAACAATACGTGACAGATGTCTTATAGGCAATTTCAGTTTGGCGTTTGCAGGAAGCCACAGATCAATATTTATCTAAGACAAAACCTGTGTGTTATACCAGAGGAGCTCTTCCCAAACAACATTTTTAGCAGAGAATTTCAGCTGGAACGAATGTAGGAACTGCAAGCAAACGAGTTCGGGACTGAATGGCATTTTGTCAAAAGTGACGTGAACTATCAATCAGAAAGAAAAACGACGTATGCTAAAAGACTTTCAAAAAAAGAACTTGTACTCTTCTTGCCGCGTCGTATTATTATTGAGGTAAAGGTGCAAACTTCACAATGGGAAAGATTAGAGGTATGACATATGTTTCATAATTATTTTTCTAGTAGTTAAACTCAACCTTACTTTTTTTCGTTCACATCCTTACGAAAATATCAGTGTCGTAAAAAGATTATTCAACTTTACCTAGGCAGTGAAGCAAATCTGTAAGATCATCTACATTTTTCGTTCTGCAAAGTCGACAGGAACTTGAGGAAAACATTTTCAACTTTAAAATTATCTTAAGAGCGTTAAAGTTCTTCCCTTACTTATTCCATTTGGAATGATTTTGTATTACGCATACTTCATTTGATATCAATAAAATTGAGTAAAAGGAGTTCCACAACAACCCTCTTGATCAGAAAAAGGTAATAATCTAGAAACTATTTTAATACGCTTACGATTATGTCTTATGTGCTTCGGTTACATGTCAAAATTTCATGACTTGAAAAATTAAATTTTGGTCATAAATTCGCCCTTGTTGTGCTACAGTTATTGCGTGTCGAATACTGTCATTTTGAAGCAATGAAAACGCAAAGATGTCAAGCTTAGATTTGATCTGTCACGAGAAGGACTTAGAAGGCTACATAGACATCTATTTCCTGGTTTCTGTTTTGAGAGGATCTCGCGGTTGACTCTCTGTTTGAACAGAGATAAAAAAAAAAAAACGGTCACGTTCGTATACCCAAATGGACAAAGATCTTATCGATCTAATTCTAGCTAACCTTGATATCAACATAAACATGCTGAATTTTCTCTTCGTAAACGAACAGTACCACAAATGAAAAGAGCAAATTTTTACATCCAAAAGATATTCTACATCATTGGAAGAGACTATTTAGACATATAAACTTACGTCACTTTGAAAAGCGGGTAAACGATGAACGAAACTGGATGAAAATAATGATTTGAGACCGTGCTTAGCTAAATGGAAAAGCTTAAAACTGAAACTATTAAGAACCAGGAAAAAGCGACAAGATATGACATCGATTAGGAGAAACATTTTAACTTGCAGAAATACTTTTTGTTTATTTTTAGTTTCAGTTTCATTACCGAATATGAAAATTTCAATTCCCAGTTCCCTCAGAAACTAAGAAGCAAGCTTTATGAATTACTTTTTCCGTTACAATTTTACACTAATTTTAACTGTTGATGTTTCCATCTAAGGTCAACAACATTTCCAGCTAATGCTACTCTCCAAAGCTGTAATTTATTCAATAATGGGCATGCATTCTTGCGGAATAGCTGCTGAGCAGACATGTCGCACGTCCAGACCAGTACCGGACCACGTACTTACAGGTCACGTGATCGCGTCCCTTGAAGGAAAACGCCTGGATAGCTGCGTGATCTCTTGTGAGATCACACAGAATTGCTTTAGCATTAACTACTATAAAGCACTCAAGAAATGTGAATTAAACAGGAAAACAGCTGAATGGTATCCCAGTAACTTGCTCCCAAGATCTGGTGCAGTGTATCTCAACATGGTGGTACGTGACTACACGCCGTGTGTCGATCGAAATCCGCCATGTTCAGGAAAATGTGTTGTTATCCCTGGATCCTTAACGACACGGTGTGTTTGTGAATCAGGAAATGCTGCTTGCAAAAACGACTGTAAGTTTGAGTCACAGTTTACATCACTTGTAATTACTTCGCTAATACAGACGGGCCCAATAAGATAGCATTAAACAAGTGTATTTAATATAAAACCATTTCTTTAAATTAAGACCTAATGCAGACAGACGGAATACAGCTATTAATGCAGACAGACATGGGTCACTGGCCTGAGTCACTGTACTCGACTTTTGGGTTTTACAGTCCCTTCGACCAGGAGAACTGATATAATGAGATAAATTGTTAAGGCGCATCAAAAAGCTCCTGCAATAAATTGGTGAGGCCCCGTGTTAAGCCCTGTCCATCGGAAAATGTTTAGCAACCAAACACGATCAAGCACTGTTTAGTGGCTAAAAATGTTGATGATGTACTGAGTGGCCAAACCGTATATATTAAACATCTTTGATCACAGATCACCGTCCAAATGAACAAATTGTTTTACAATGTTTGATCAAATTCTGCCCGGCATCGTTCAAATTTTATCAAACACGATCAGAAACACGACCAGACGGACAAGGTGTCCAAACGGGAAAATCGTTGGTCACCAAACAATGTTTGATCGTGTTTGGTGGCCAAACATTTCCCGTTTGGGCAGGGCTTTAAACTGGACTAAAAAATATTTTTGGCCACTAAGTGCTTTATGTCATCTCTTTTCCCCCGGCCTGTCGTCTACCTTATACTTTTATTTAACTAACAATTTGCTACCAGTTAAAATTCAACTGTCCGTTTTGTATTATTACGATAAAATACAGCCTGTATTTCTAAGCCATTGGGAATGGAGGACGGTTCAATTCCAGACAATAAGATTACAGCATCATCCACACACAGCAACAGTGAGGTGGCTTGGGGAAGGCTTCACTATTCACAAGGAAGTTGGACTCCGAGAACAGATGACAGATACCAATGGCTCCAAGTGAACTTCGTACCGAATGTGAAACTCATAACACACATCGCCACGCAAGGAAACGGAAAGGGCTGGTGGTGGGTAAAAGAATATTACGTCATGTATAAGAAAAGACAGGAAGCCCTTAAAGAATACATGGAAAATAATCATCGAGTGGTGAGTAAAATTCTAGTAGCTCCAGCTTTCTCGTAAGCAGATTGAAGAGGGGAAATGTCTTATGAATTCGAACAACTCAGTCTTAATTGTTGAACTTTTAAACTTCTAGCAATTAAATTTCGATAGCGTGCTGCCATTTTCTGCCCTAGTTCTTCAGTTGCATTAGCTACCCAGGAGAATTATTCTTGCACTCTCCTCCTGCCCCCCTTCCCCTCCTCCCACCGCGTAATCCCCGGGCCGAGACCAGAGGAAAGTTACTAGTAAAGTTAATGCCTGTTCTAGGCTACATTTCAACAGCCCGCAACAGAGATATCTTTTGTTGGCTCTTACTCGGTGTAGAAGGCACAGTTGACGTAAGGAGGCAGCTAGCGTGGCCGAGTGGTCAGCCCGTCGGACTTGCAACCCAGCAGACTCGGGCTCGAGTCCCGCTTTGACCACTTCCTGGATTTGTTTCACGGTGGCCCAGAATTCAAATCGGCCTCGGCCACGCTTGTAAATAGGAAAATGGTTTGCCTCCGGCCAGCTGGGATTCTTAACAAAATTATGTTCAATTTGAATTATTTGTTTCAGTTGTTTTCCTCGGCCCCACTAGTCTTTGTACTATAAACACTGCCGAGGGTAAATAAAGGTATATTTATTTTTATTTATTTATTTATTAAGATCGACAATAGAGAACAAATGGACAAAAGAACGGGGAATACAATGAAAAGGATAGGTTTGTGAGGCGGTGTTCTATTGTGATGTGTCCTGTGTTTTCTACTGAGACTACACCAAGAAGGAGTCCTATTGTTATATTAACATTACATGCAAGGCCCATTATATTTATTCTGTTTGTTTCAGCTCTTCTCAGGAAACAAAAACAAGGATGGTGTAGTAAAGAACCTGATTAACAATCCCTTTGAAGCGGACACCGTGCGTATTATACCCACAGCAAATGATGGAAGGATAGCTTTGCGAATTGAGCTGTATGGATGTGACGCCCGAGTACCGTAATCTCTGACACTTTTGTATTTAACTTGGCCGAATGTGCAATGGCTGATTGAGATTTCCCCACGATAACTATCCCTTACCATAAGAACCCCTATGATTAAGGATCTCTCCAGATCGAGATTTCTTGGAAAAAATATTCCCCGGAAAAAGAATCACTCAGTACAAAAATCTCAGGGGTAAAAAAAAAAGGCTTATTATCCAGCTTTACTGACTTGGTTCCGGTTTCCATGATCGAGTTAGTGAGCTCAGTTCTTTATTCTCGGTTTGATCATCAAGACCATGCTTATCAAAATATATCATGTTTAAGACAGGTTTTCTGTTTTATTCAAAGATGTAGAGTTCTTTTTTCCTGTTTTTCGGTAGAATAGGGATGATTGGTTGAAGTAGAAGCCAGTCAATTGTAGTCTGCGGAAGCTGGGCGTGCACCAAAATAATCGTTAAGTATAATTGTAAACAAAATATCGGACTAAACTGGCACTATGCGCTCAGTGATTTATGGGCACAAGTGGCGCTTCGAAAGTTCTGAATATGACGTCACGAGCACATAAATAAATGCACATGCATTTCCTAATAATTACTAAATGCCACACTAAATTTACTGATGTTTAAAGATCGGAGTAAACAATAATAGGAAGAGATAAATTAAACTTATTCAAGATTTTTCAAGATGTTGTTAAAGATTTCGGTCAATAAAATAATTAATCGTCGCTGCTGAATGAACAAAAGCTAAAACTGCAATAAGGAAGGTTTTAATTAAAAATATCTAGAAACTTGTTCGAAGCAGATTTTCATATCTAGAATTATTGAAAAAACTCAACTTTGAATACTTTACTACTGCAGTACATTTGACACATTCATTGGAGCATTTAAATTAAAGAATTTGTACTTATGTAAATGAAACTATACTTGTTACATTTAATTAACCTTTGCAGCGAATATAATAAAAAATCCTAAAAAAAAAAAAAAAAAACTAATCTGAAGCCCTTTTCAGCTTTTCAGGGATCCTGAGTTATCTCATGCAGTTTCTTTGTCATTCGCTTAGTTGCTGTGAAATAACCAGTCGGCAGGCTGTAAATCACAACAACCAGGCGGGATAAAATCGAATGCAGTCACTGATATTAATTATCAGGGGAGGATGTTGTAACCGAGCCTTAGACATATGAACAGCTTGGAAGAGTAACAATAGGCTGAAGATAGCCAATCACCAACCAGTATAGAACTACACCTCAGTCCTGACAAAATCGCCTCCAACTGATGATCAATGATTAAAAGAAAGTAAAAGTGACTTCTGCTGCGCTTGACAAAATGACTGCTCGGTTAGCAATGCAAGGGAAAAAAGTTTTATTATTCATCCTGTTTCAAGAGATCATGAACGCAGCAGACTTGAACACCGTTGAGAAACCGTCGGTGACATCGACTTCACGATCGGCATTTGTTGTTTTCCGTAAAAACACACGACTCGTGGGCCATGCTATCAAGTGGTTTTATTCGCCGAGTTTACTTTCGTGTAACCAGCTATGCTTGGGTAAAACCTGGTGCGCGTCAATTAACTTCAAGATGTCCTCTAAGGAGGACGGCAAAGGAACTTGTGAGCTTAACAAGCACAACTGGCCCTTGATTGACGAGTATGGAATATTACAAAGTCAGCATGGAGTGACTTTCGCATTGCTTCTCAAGGTAAGTTTTGGGCCATACCTTTTTAAGTTAATCTTCCACTTGCAGTTAAAATAGAATATTTGCTTTGAATTTGTGCTTTACAGTAAGGCAATCAGCCATGATTTCTAATTCATTCGACATTTTAAGGTTTCAGCTTGCTCTGACTTGCCGCCCACACAACAGCTTGCTTGCAGTTCGCAATTAAGGGCCGTCCTCAGGGCTGTCCTACTGCTTTGAGTACGTCAAAAGGGAAAACATGAATAACTTCAAACGTTCAATACACATGAACTAGTGTGACTTTTGTCACTTTACCCATTTTGATGACAATCTTTAATTTTTGCCGCAACTCGGTCCAGTTTAGATGGTATAAAAATTCAAAGAACTGCCACTTTTTCCCCTCCACTGAAATCGTCCGTATTGTACTATTCTACTATCTCTTTTTAATAACTTGGCGTGATTTCCAGGAATTACCGAGTCATAAAATCAAGTTCTGTAGCTCACTTGGTGCAAAAGGAACGATTTTTCATCAGCCGTACCGTTTTCATAAATCCAGTCGTATACACTCTTTTTTTTCACAAGAATACAAATATTGTTTTTCCTGCCGAGACTGAATATTCTTATTTTTCTGGCGATGTTAGGCTGAAAATATTCAGCGTCAAATATTCTTAGATTATAACGTACGCCATTTCTGTTTTCGAATGTATTTGGTGTCTGAATCGTGTTAAAGTAATTTTGGAGCCGGCCTGCGGACATTTAAGCCTGATATGACACATAACGTCTTGCAGAAAGCATTGAACATACGGCTACAGCTGTTTTTATTGTTTTTTACCTGGTTTTGCCGCTTAGATCGAGAAAGGGCGAGTTTTATATGGTTTAGTTCAAAAACATAACTGTATTGCATTTACAAATTTTCAACACACAAAATATTTTTCTTTACAAAATCTCGGCCTCGAATTTATTCTTAAAATTTCGCAAATCTCGTAAATTTCAGCCTCAATATTCTTACAAAATATATTCTTATAAAAAAGAATGTATTAGCACAGAATGTTGGAAACCATCAGGAAATGTGTTTTGACTCTAGATACACCAGAAAGATCGAAAGTAATTAGAGATGCTTATTTTTGGCCTTTCCAGGTCATTCAGTCATTTTCCATGGAAAATAATAAAATGATCAGGAAATGCCCTGGGTTCACTCCAGATGCCCTAGAAAGATCGACAGTATAAATACATCCAGACAAATACATATATTGGTCACTTGAGAGTGCCAACATGCAGATGAACAGGAATATGTTAGTGTGTTTGTATTTGCTCAAGCTATTTTTGATGACAATGTAGATATCGACCACTTTGACAGCACCAACAGGTGAACAGGAACAAGTCCCCAACGTCACATAATCATATCATCAATTTTGATTAAAATCACTTTCAAAGAAAGCCATAAATTTCTCTTAATGTCAAAAATGTTCTCAAAGGCTAAAACTGTTTTCAGGTGACAATTACAATTTCCAGTCCGAGCTATTGGAGACTAAATTCTTAGTACCTTCATCATTTCAGTTTTGTCCAGTGCTTTTATGGCAATTTTTTTTAACTTTGTTATTATTTTTAACATCATTTGTATATGCTATTTGTTATAGAAAGCAATAAATTATTACATTACTTGTTAAATATTGTAGTCTAGTCGGTCCTCGTTACAAAATCGAAATAACTTTTAATCTTTGTTATTATTTCTAATATTATTTGTATTTGTTTTGGAAAGCAATAAATGATTATATCCCAAAAATATTTATGCGGGCTTTTACTCCACTTATTTAGCGTTGAGAACTTATTGATGCAGCAAGACAATTCACCATAAATTATGATTTTCTTAATTCTTATCAACTTTCTTCTTTATAAGGTCTTCATATTGGAAGGAGAAAATAAATACTGATCAGTATAGCATATAGCCATAGCGTGTTTCATAACCCATTGCTTTTGATCGCTGATTTCCGCCGACTGACTGGCTTTTTAATCAGATTTCGTTTGCTATTTTCCTATGGACAAAAAGAAGTATCCACGATAATTTAAAATAAAAACATAAATTTACGTGTAAATGAAAAGGTGCGTAAGTATAGAGAAGTATAGGGAATTAGAACCAAAAATGCGAATCAAGGAGGGAAAGAAATTTTCTCAGGGTATTTCGCGCAATTGTTTTTGCAACTATTTAGAATCAAAAAGCTTCAGAGGCACAAGGTACATTTTAAAGAACCAGTAAAGGCCGAAGCAAGTAAGAATTTGAAATGACGTGAGGTGAAGCTCTTACTCTTCTGTTGACTTCCAACTCCCATGATCTCTAATTCTCTGTTAAATTCTCTGAGTTAAAATCTCTTCAGTGAGGTATGTAGTTGCCCTAATCGAAAGGTTTTAGTTAAAGATCAATCATTCGAAACCAAAATTTTAGCGTCCAAGAATCTAGCCAATCAATCTAGCTCCCCAGCGCCCGTGTCGGTCAGTGGGAACGCTGGGATCTGGGTAAGAGGATGACTCCTATTAAACTGGAACTTACTCAAGACTTTTAGGCCATGTCCACGCTACTCCGGGGGAATTTAAAAACGTAACAATCACCGGTCATTTTGGATTTGTATTTGAGCAAAACTCGGTCAGGAAATCACATAATTATCTTGACGCCATCGTTTTCGAAAAGCTCCGTTTTCAAAATGGTTTCCTTCCACGCTACAACGCAAAGCCGGCGTTTTCAAATTCCCCCGGTTTGAAGAGCGTTTTCGAAAAGCTCCGCTTTCGTGACGCATTAGTGTGGATGGAAGGCTTACCGGAGAAATGAAGCTCCGTCTTCAAGTTCTTCCCGGGTAGCGTGCACGGGACCTTCAACAGCACACCAGAGTTTTCTTGTTTGTTTGTTTTTTGTTTTGTTTCTAAATTACATGTTAATTCTAACTTACTCTCAAATCGTTTGACAAGGCGATTAGTCAATGAATGAGTGATGAAAATGAAGACCCTAGTGTGCCAGTACTGTATACCATGCAGTTTCTCTTTCAGCCCTCGTTGTGGTTTTGAAATTGCAAACAAAATTGTGAGAATCATTTCTCCGCTTTATAAAATATCTGTCAGTCATAACACCCGCTGTGACTGGTCAATTTAGCAGGCCGTAATCGACTGCCCGCTAAAACCGCCATGTTAAAACCTAAAGCGAGGTATTGGTAACTAGCTAGACAACAACGAACAAAAGAAACTACATCCCGGTGTGAATTAATAAAAAAATAGTCTTTCACTCCGAAGTTTTCATTTAGGGCGGGTTTTTAAGTCCCGTATTAACACTGTTTCCTTGATTTTACACTGTAAATCACATTGCCCTGTTATGACATGCAGCTGAAGCCGAAGGCTGAGGCTGATACGTCGACCTTGATTATTCAGCTGAATATAACAAAAACCTCATCCAATAATTGTTTAAAAACAAAAGGTCGGACTAAACTGCCCACGTTCCAGTCACGAGCCTACATATAACTGCACGTACATTTCTAAATGTATTTACTAAATGCCACACTAATCTCGTATCCTTACTGAGGTTTAAAGATCGGAGTAAACTAATAATAAGAAAAGATGAATTAAACTCATTCAAGATTTCGACTTTATTCAAGATGCTTAGTTAAAGATTTCGGTCAATACAATAATTGCTAGTCGCTGCTGAATGAACAAAAGCTGCAACTGCAATAACAGACGCTTTAATTACAAATATTTAGAAACTTGTTCGAAGCAGATTTTTATATCAATTATAGAATTTTTGCAAAAACTAAACTTTGGATGCTTAGCTACTGTAGTACATTTGACATATCCACTGGAGCATTTATATTAAAGAAATTGTACTTATGTAAATGAAACTATATTTATTATGACTAAAGATTGAAGCCCAGCCAGGATGAGACATAATCAAAATTACGATAAAAACGTTCGCTGGTTAAAAAATTTCAAAAAGAACACGAGCTTTCCGCTGTCAATCTTAAGCCTTCGACGGATAGAAATGGATGCAGAATGATGAAATATATATGCAAGAAAAGGCGAGATAAAAATAAGAAGAAGAACAAAAGCAAAGTAAAAATGTGTAGATTAGCTGACTATTATTTAAAAGAATGCTATACTGGTTTGGAATCGGCTTAAAATTATTGTCAGCATGCTTGGTAGCAGAGGGGTGCCAAGCCAACAAAGTTTTTCTAGGATAGATGAATCTTTTTTTCACTCGTTTGTCTCACGATGGAGTCACTTTGAGATGTAGATCGCGGCGTTTCGACGTTTTTACACATCTTTAATGAAAAAGTTTTTCCAATGCGAAAAGAGCCTTTGTCGATGACACAAGAGTTATCAAAATCTATGCGATGGTCGAATGACCACGCATGTTTCGCAATGTTTGATCCATTAGCACATGTTTTGACATTCATGATATGTTCTTTCTTTACGACTTTCAAAACACCGGCCAGTTTCGCCTACATAACACCAATCACGATCGGCCCAGGATTCCAAACCAGTATAGTATTTCTTTTAAACAATAGTCCCTAATTTACGCATTTTTACTTTGCTTTTGTCTATTTTTATCTCGCGTTTTCTTTCTCATTCTGCATTCCATTTTTATCCGTCCAAGGCTGTACTTGACAGTCGAAAGCACATGTTCCTTTTGAAATTTTTTCAGCCAGCGAACGTTCTAATCGTAATTTTGATTATATTATTTTATTACATTTAACCTTTGTAGCGGAATACAATGAAAATCCTAAGAATACCTTAATCTGAAGCCTTTTTCACTCTTTTGAAGATGCTGAGTTATTTCATGCAGTTTCTCTGCATTCATTTAGTTGTTGTAAAATAATCAGTCGGTAGGGTTTCTGTCAAAGTAATCACAACACTCAGGCGGGCTAAAAAAACGAAAGCAGTCACTGATATTATCAGGGGAGGATGTTGTAGCCGAGCCTCAGTCAGATTGCAATGTTTTGTTTCTCAACATATATATTAACCACAGGTTAGACATATTAACAACCTGCAAAAATTACAATAGGCTGAAGATAGCCAATCACCAACCTGTATAGGACTACACCTGACAAAAATGCCTCTCACTGATCTGTGATCAACGATGAAAAGAAAGTAAAGTGACTTCTGCTGCGCTTGACAAAATGACTGCTCGGTTAGCAATGCAAGGGAAAAAAGTTTTATTATTCATCCTGTTTCAAGAGATCATGAACGTAGCAGACTTGAACACCGTTGAGAAACCGTCGGTGACATCGACTTCACGATCGGCATTTTTTGTTTCCCGTAAAAACACGCGACTCGTGGGCCATGCTATCAAGTGGTTTTATTCGCCGAGTTTACTTTCGTGCGGCCAGTTATGTTTGAGTAAAACCTGGTGCACTTCAATAAACTTCAAGATGTCCTCTAAGGAGGACGGCAAAGGAACTTGTGAACTGAACAAGCACAATTGGCCCTTGATTGACGAGTATGGAATATTACAAAGTCAGCATGGAGTGACTTTCGCATTACTTATCAAGGTAATACTTTTTTAAATTAATCTTCCAACTAGTTGAAATAGAATCTAGTTTTTTTAATTTTTGCTTTTACGGTAAGGCAGTTAGTAGTGATTTCTAAAATTTATTCGACATTTTACCGTTTCTGTTTGTTCTGCTCTGAAGCGCTCGCTCATCAACTTGCTTGCAGTTCGCGCTTGACGCTGTCCTCAGGGCTGTTCGGCTACTGCTTTGATAGCGTCAAAAGGGTAAACAGGAGTAACGTCAGAGTGAATTTTGCCACTTTACCTATTTTTAATGACAATGTATGTGCCTGAATTTATGATTACAATGTTGATGAACCCTTATTGTCCCAACTCGGTCCAAAGTATAGGGGAAATAAAAAATTCAAAAGCATGTCACTTTTTTCCCCCACTCTAATCGTCCGTTTTGTATTCTTCTACTATCTCTTTTAAATTATTTGGCGTATCGCTTAGCGTGATTCCCAGTCCTTACCGAGTCCTAAAATCAAGTTCTGTAGCTCACTTGGTGCGAAAAAGTATGCGCAAATTTTTCATCAACCGTACCGTTTGGTGTCTCTAATGGTGTTGAAGTAATTTTGCAGTCAGCCTGCAGCCATTAAAACCTGATGACGCACATAACTTCTTGCCGAAATATTATTGGCATCGAACATATATACGGCTGGTGCTGTTTTGCTGGGTTTTTTTTTTGCCTAGTTTCGCCCTTAGAGAAAGGAAGAATTTTACACGGTTTAGTTAAAAACATATAATTGTTATTCAACACAAAAAATTACTTTCTTTTCAATTTTACATTCTCAACTTTCGCAAATTTCAGCCTCGATTTTCTTATAAAATATATTCTTAAAAAAAAAGAGTGTATTGGCACCGGATGTTCGAAACAATCAGGAAATGCCGTGTTTTGACTCTAGATAGACCAGAAAGATCGAAAGTAATTAGAGATGCTTATTTTTGGCCTTTCCAGGTCATTCAATCATTTTCCATGGAAATAATAAGAAGCACAGAATATTGGAAATGATCAGGAAATGTCCTTATATTTTGACTCCAGATGCCCTAGACAGATCGACAGTATAAATAAATCCAGACATGTACATACACATATTGATCACTTGAGAGTGCCAACACCGGGGGGGGGGGGACGGGTGCTCGTCGTACTTTTTAGAGCTTAAAAAAGCGGGAACTTTAGCGGTACTTTAGAGTATTGAGCCAAAAAAAGTGACAGTAGACGGAGTGTTGTTTTAGAATCAGTACCTCTTAAGGGGGAAAGAAATTTCAAGCCATATCCGGTCCGTAAAAGAGGGTCTTGGAACCTCTTAAGGGGGTTCTTTTCAAAATTTCCCGACGAGCACCCCCGTCCTTTTTATATGGGGGTCCCCCCGGATGCCAACATGCAGGTGAACATGAATAACGTCAAAACGTCAAAATCAGAACTTCAAATTCAAAACGTCAGTAAAAACCAGCGTGTTTGGTTTACTCAAGCTATTTTTGATGACAATGCAGATACTGACCACTTTGACAGCGTCAACAGGTGAACAGGAACAAGTTCCCAACGTCACATAATCGTACGAACCTATCTCACGCTTCTGTTTTTGATTACAATGTATATTAACCACTTGGAAAGGAAGCCAGAAATTTCTCTTGATGGCAAAAATGTTCTCAAAGGCTAAAACTGTTTTTAGGTGACAGTTACGATTTCCAGTCCGAGCTATATATTGGAAACTAAACCTCAACTCAAACCTCAACTCAAACCTCAACCTCAACAGGGTATTTCCTGTGCTTTCATGTCAGTTTACTTTTTATTTCATTTATTTGGCACTGAGAAATTGTTGATATATCAAGGCACTGCACCATAAATTATGATTTTCTTAATGCTTATCACCTGTCTTCTTTATAAGGCCTTCACGTTGGAAGGAGAAAATAGATACTGTTCAGTATAGCATATAGCCATAGCGTGTTTCATAACCCATTGCTTTTGATCGTCGGCTTTTTAATCGAATTTCGTTAGGGAATTTTCTATGAATAAAAAGACGAATCAACTTCTATGCAAAACAGACAAGGATTTGACATGATTTGCTCTCCCTTGCCGTCATTTTTTTACCCTTTGTTTTCATTTTTAGAATTTTTGTTTCGTTTTTCTCTAAGAAGATAAGTTATAAACGTAAGCCAACTTTTTAGTCAGGTTTTAGGGCATTCCGCAGATTGCTTTTGCAGTGTTTCGTTCTTCTATGCATATTCAGAAGATGTTTCTTTGCTTTGTATCGCTTGTCTTGTCTGTTTTTTCAGGGTTGTCTTAAAGCAGGCTGTCTTGACGGAGGTTCCTGTTTATTTGACAAGAAAAACGAGACATTTTCCTGCGTCAAAGAACCGCAAACGGACGATAACAGTGACATCCAAACAGGTTAGACTAGGAAACAGGTTTTATATAATGGAAAGCGATCACGTACAACTCCTTAGGCGTGAATTACTTGATCGAGTACACTGTACCCAGATCTCTCACGGGTCTGGATACGCAATACGCATGCGTCTTACGTAGTAGTTGTTTAATCTCGTACCTAGGGTCAGCACTGAGGGACTAACGTGCATTCTATTAAAGTGGACTTTTTGCCTATTGCTAAGGAAAACAATGACTCAGATATCAAATCTCCTGTGTAATATTGTAAATTTGTTTTGTCTGTTATCACTAAATTAGACTGCGATAGTTCCAAGCCATTGGGTATGGAGGACGGTTCAATTCCAGATAATAAGATCACAGCATCTTCCACACACAGCAACAGTGAAGTGGCTTGGGGAAGACTTCACTATTCACAGGGAAGTTGGACTCCAAACACAGATACCGGTTACCAATGGCTCCAAGTAAACTTCGTACCGGAAGTGAAACTCATAACACACATCGCCACGCAAGGAAACGGAAAGAGCTGGTGGTGGGTAAAAGAATATTACGTCATGTATAAGAAAGGAGGGGGAGACTTTAAAGAATACATGGAAAATAACCATCGAGTGGTGAGTTAAAACACAATCTTAAACGGTTAAAAAATGGTTTGTTTAGTAGGTAATTTAAAACAAAGAGGCAGACAGATTGAGGGGTAGAAAGCCATAAACAGTAATTTCAATGTTTTCTATTTTTTGTTATAGCTCTTCCCGGGCAACAAAAACAAGGATGGTGAAGTCAAGAACAAGATTACCAATCCTTTTCAAGGGGATACTGTGCGCATAAAACCGACAGCATTTTCTGGAAGGATTGCTTTGAGAATTGAACTGTACGGATGTGAAGTCTAGTCACTACTACATGCATAAAGCTCATGAAGGAAATTATAAAATAGCTGAAAACCTAGCTTTACAAGAATGCCAGCAGATAAATTTACTGTGAGCTTAAGTGGGAAGGGCCGGGA